ACAAGGTAAATAAATAAGATTTTCAAATCTAATATGACTTTAAGAGTATATGATAATTATTGAGAAAACAATAACAGTAATGCTAAAATATTCATTTCATAACTTTTTTTTCAGGGTCATTTAAGGTCATACGAACTCGCGACAGAATAGAAAAGTAAACAACTAAATTGAAAAATGTCAACAGGTAAAACCTCATGTTAATAACATTTGCCTAAGACTACGACTTAACAAAATAAAGATGCAATGTTATATTATTCACTTTTATGAAAGCGACTAGGATGGAGTAGCAACAAACCATTCAACTAATATATATATATATATATATATATATATATATATATATATATATATATCTTCATGCCTATCCCTCCGAAGGTCCTTAATTAAAAGTCCAAATCGAAACAGTTTCGTGTTTCCAGTTAATGTAAAGTCAAAATAATAATAAGTGCTTAACTTAGATTATGAGATATGAAACCGAGTTAGTCGCGTTTGAAGACTCTTATATGTTTTAGAAACTACCTAACAACAAATACTATCATTATTGTTGTTTGTGACTGGCTGAATTTTTGCTTTAAATATTGAAGCATAAGATCGTAATTTTGAAGGTTTAATTAAGCATTCTACTTGATCAATAAGTATAATCAATCTAAGCTTCACCACATCTCATTTAAACGAAACGTGTCAAATAATTGATTAAGAAACATATGAAATTGTTATCACTGTTGATTACCTGTGACTATATTGGCACTCACGTAAAATATAAGAACTGACGGAATAACATAAACTTCTGTGATTCTAAGCGAATTTTCTGTTAGGTAAAATAACTAGATGAGGGTTTGCATAATGGATCAGTTCAGTATCTTTTGTTTGGAATCGTTGTGAATGAAAATTAGCTCAGTAGTTTGCAAAATCACAGGTGGCCACTACCAAAGCCTAGCCAACAATAAATTTGGAGATAATCAGCCCATAGCACTTAATGACATCGAACATTATAGTCGACATAAGATCAAAGAAATAATGAATGGTTTCCGATGAAAAATGTATCGAAAAAATCAAAACAGACAATCATTATCCAAAACAGAACGTTAGGAATCCCACGAAAACAGAATCTATGGGTGGTTTGAATAATCACTCAAGACACCGGAATTAAACGAGTTAGCTCAAAAGGAAATACATAGAACCACGGAACGTTTACTTATAAGCTAAGCGCTCAGGAGCAAAGAGCACTAGGAACAAATCTTTCTACAAAATTCATATCACAATTGCTGAGCAACGAAAAACAGTTATGTTAGCACATAAATTTGTCCCTTGTAACGTTTTCGATTGGAAGGTCAAATATACAGAAAGAATAAACAACTCCTATAGGACTGATTGTATCAGGGTTCTACTCAACAGCAATAATTCAAAGACTCGAAGCTACAGCTCTATCAAGAGCAAAATTAAATATCTGGATACTTACATAGATCACATACTTGTTATTCTTAAGAAAGAAAACTGGAAATCGTTCATCAGCTGACCAGCGACATCGATGAAGTCGATTATGCAATGGGAAAATCAGAAAAGTAAAAAATCCGATTTCCGATATATTCATTAGTACGACACATGGACTTTGGGAACATAAGAATATAAGGTGCCAAGCCATACAAACTAAATACTAAAATACGATAGCAATGATTCAACAGAGCATTAAAAAACTGTAAATGGATATTATTCAAAAGGCGAAATTCAGTATAGCATTGTCATTGTCCGAAAAGTTAAGGAAATTCATTTCATTTCAGTGTTTCGTAGAAAATGGCACAGAACTCAATTCAGCATCCCATCGTCAGATACACAGACATAAATCCGACTTGTGGAAAAGATCAATCGAGCACGTGGGTCAGAAGTTAACCGAACAAAACGTGCAATCGAAACTCAAAGATGAGGTGGAACCTAGGAACACAACTAGTAGGAAACAAGACCATCCAATCAAACTTCTTCGAACCTTCTGGAATAATCAAAAAGCTGTCACATTTGAAGTAGGTCCTGAGGATGCACGTAATTCAAACCGACATCTCCGAAAATGCAACTCTACGGAAATGTAAGAAGTTGGTTTAAACGCACTGCGCCGAAAACTATATATTAAGGAGCAACGTCATTGCTCTCATGTTATCTCTAATGCTGAAGAATGTTTAGGTCAAATAACAAATGAGTTCATGAAAAACAGACTGGTATGTTAGATGATCTGTTAATTTCCACACAACACAACAGAAAATATGGCAGTCTTCAATACACTAGTATTCTTTATACGCCTGAAAGTCGTTAAGGTGATGTTTTGTAGGAACGTTTAGGAAAATAATTTTACTCTAGACCGAGGTTATACGATGTTCTATTCTCTGGACATATATCCTGTCAAGCTGGGTATGCATATAAACAAAACAGGACCATAATAGTTATATTTTAGTAACTCATTATTGTAAATATTCAAAAAATCTAAGACCGTACGAAATACCTTCAGCTAATTTGGTCACATAGATGTCTTAAATCTCGTTGGTATGAACGAAAGGATTATGTAGTGACAGAAACAAATTTGTGCCGATAATACGCGAATCGACAATCAAAAAGACTGCCACTCTCTGAACCTTAATGATCTACGGAATATCAGAAAACCGCCAGGTATATGAATGAGGAGCTAAAATCCAACTTCACACACATTTTTAAGTAATCTAAATGAGAAATTCATTAAAGTTTGTGCTGATTGGCCTAGCAACATAGTAGGTTGCTTGATGACCTAAAATTTTGATTTCCAATTCGGCCTTTTATCAGTGATATGTCCAGTAAATAAGGTTATTAAGCTACTTAATAACTTATACGTGTCAGACTACTACACAAAAAGCACTGGTTACCAAAGGATTTTTATCGGAATGTAAGCCCATTGCATGTCGTGATGGCAGGACCGATATTTAATACTAGAAAGCTCGAGTTAAACCGGCCGACATAACTGAGTGAAGACATGATACGTGACGGACTGTATTGAACAGCGCTGATGGACAGCAAAGGTGATTACTCCTAGCATTTACTTATATCAAATTGGGCCACAGAAATAGGAATCATTATTTAAATGAATAGTTTCCTCAATATACTTTACCAGCCAAAATTTTCGATTGAAAAATAGTTGAGTGACCCATATTAACTAATACAAAATAAGCCGAAACCTGAGATTAGAATATTTTGTGCGCATCGACATAACTTATTAATATACACACAGGCCACTACTTTTTAAGAAACGAAGCAATTAAAGATGAGTGGGAATCTATATGTATAAAAACTATACCGAACAATTAAGAACATCTCCACTTGACTGGTAGAAAATATGGAAGGAATAGAAAATGTACTGTTAATAGGCTGGGGAATTCACCCTATTAGTGCTGTTATTCTACACAACCAGGTGAAGATAGTTTCTATAGGTAGTTAATTTCAGGAAATAATAATTTCCGTCTTAGGAACTTCATTTAGTACTGAATTATGATAATATTCGGGCGATCAATCTTATTGCAAAGAATCTGGAAACGAACATAACTGACGTATTATTTCCAATAAGTGTCAGCAAATACTTAGTGAAACCTATTTTCAATGAACAAATTTATCACTGTCTTTAGGGAATTTTATTACCCTGTTTTGTACCCATATCATGGTAAGCGTTTTAATGCTTGTTAATCTCTAAGCAATTTGATTGGTAGTAACAGTAACATTATCGGTATCAGCAAGAAAATTGGGAATCGAAGAAAAGCGTCATTATGGATGATACACGTTTGTCATAAATTTTTATTTAGAGAAATGAATTACAGATAAGTTTATTTTACTGGGTGTGAATTAAAGACGCTCGCTTAATTTCTTCATGGTCTAAACTTACTTCAGAGTAGTAACTGTCAGTTACTAGAAAATCATAAAATACGATCTTTTCTACGGACACTAACTATTTGGTGACAAAAGTACATTCCTAAAATAATTCAATTATTAATGGATCGCTGGTGTTTTTTTCTAGTGATTTTTTAAGTCTTTCATTATTTTATTTAATTATTCAACATATTATTGCCATTCAAAAGTCATCAGAAACTTGATCACGCTACTTTCATAGTGTTGTATTAATATGAACAAAGATCCGATATAAATTACCAAACAATAATGTCGCCGGACAGCAATCACAAATTATTTTAGCTGCATCCAAGTTACAAATCAAGTAATATATGAGTATTTAACGTTGAAAGGATTCAGAATCCAGTAAGTTACTGAAGGCGAAATGGTAGCAATGATGAATATGATACTTTTATGAACAAACTATGGGATTTACCTGTAACTATGACGAATTCATTTTACGTTTTATGTAGTACATGGTTTCATACTTATGGTCAGTTACGAGTACTTTGTGTTCTTAACTATGCAACCCGTCAGGTAGCTTCTTAGAATTGCCTTCGATGGTAAAGCAGTAGTAACAACCATACTTTTAAAAATTTAAACTTTAGTTGTCTGATCAGCTATAATCAGCAGCACACTTCCACATAGTGCATATTTTTGTTTTGCGACATTGTACAAGGAATTCGGGCCAAGCACACGACTAATATTCATAATTCGTAACGATATTGTCATTCCGACGTTTTATTGAATGAAAAAGAAAAGACGAATCACAAATATTTGAGTTTTGCTTTATGAAAGCAAGCTACTTTCATGCAGTTGAAAATAAATAAATTAAACGACGACATGCACTCCCCTTATCGTTTTCTTCAAAAAAATAATAATGAGAACAGAATTTAATAACTAATACGAACATACGCAACTAGTTTACGTTAAGGCACATACACAGACACGATTGAACAAGAACCACAAACACACAAGCTCACATTTACTTTATTAATAGGGCATCACTACTCTGGAAGGTACCAGATATGCTGTCAATTTACATGTATTTAAATATCATAATTATCCTGTGCATACAATAAAACAGGTGTGGTTTATTGACATGGCTTTCATCTTCCTGAAAGATGAAGTAATTCGCTGGATTCTTTGGCATAATAAACAACATCCGGATCTGTATCAGAGCCCAGTTTTTCTAATGTTGGTTTAACAAATGTCTGTAAAGTCGATGCATCCAGAAGATGGCCAATTTTGCCCAAAATTTGACCAACCTAGAATGTGCAGAAAAGGCATTAAAAAATTGTATCATTATTAAAACTACATATTGCGGTAAACACCAATAAAACCTTATATACAATGTTTCATGTTATGTGTTTAACCAGCATAAGATACTACATGTCTGACATTGATGAAAACGTATGATGTATATCAGGCCCAAGGCTTTAATTTTTAGATAAATTTGATAATAGTAACCTCGATTAGACAGATTTACAGCTTAGTCTCTACCTACGTTTATCTGCATAAAGACAGAAATGGATATAAGCATCAAAGATAGCTTAGTTATGCTTATAATAACACTCAAATGCTGAATACCATTCTTACTTTGAAACGAACATTTGGCACAGGATCTTGACCCAGTTGAACTATAGTAGGAAGTAAATGTTTCTGCAGTAATTCCGACCGACAAGACTGAGCTTCACCTAGTTGATGAAGGGATGCCAAACAAATCATTCGACGAAGATAATTGGGATCGTAAGAGAGTTGTATGAGCTGTAAATTTTTTAGAAAGTAATGTATAATTGTCAAATATTTGGTTGCTTGGCATCATTATATTAAAAATAACCGTGAAAAAGTTTCATGCATTTTGTGTGAATTTACTTGTGGTATTTTAACGAATTGATAAGCTAACCTTTACATAGACTTATAAATTTCCCCAGATATTTGAACTGAACGTATCTTCATGTTAGTCAGTATTTCATGTAGTGGTTCTTTAACAAATAAAGTGACACTATAGTGACATACATGGAATAAAAGCAAAACAATTAAACTACGACTAGAATAACCTCCGAAACCACATGATTTGTTACAGTTAAACACTTATCAACCGACAGAGACGATAATTTATTTCTGAAGAGCTAAACATATATTCTGATCTCTGAATTCAACTACGTCAATAACAAATATCATTTGATACCAACACAAAAATTGTAACCCCATGAAGTAAGAAATCAAACCACTGTATCGAAAACTTTCAGCTCAAGAGTGCAGTAAAATAATCTGGGTCTAGAAAACTGAAATGACCAAAACTAATTTAGCAGTGTATAGGTAATAATTGACTACAGTGCGACCTGCCAAATATCACCAAACCATTATGTAAATGCCTATATTTAATTTAGTTGCTTATTTACTTACCAGTGCTTTTAGAAGTAGCGTTGGTACTGAAGCTTCATGTGTATGGAATGAACATTTTTCAAACAATAAAATAAGATTAACTATGAGAGTTAAAAGACCATAAGACAGTAAGTACGTCGAAAACTCACACCAGTGTATATGTAGGCAAATCACAAACAGGTAAATAATAATTCCTTGGACTGGAGATTTCAGTTCGTAGTAAAATCCCAATGACCATAGACTGTATGCAAAACACGGCATTATGAAAACACATGGATTTAACAGAAGCTTGAAACCCGTTTGACCTTGACATAACATAATAAATTTGTTCTGCTCAATTCTCTACGTCATTTGCAGTCTAGTCCTCTTGAAGCAGACAGAGCAGATAAATATTCCTTAGGAATATGTGAAAGAATTAGTGAATGAAACATTACAAAAGAAGCTAATCACTAATAACTTAAAAACTGCTCGAATAAGGCTTTACAAGCAAGAGTTTATATTCCCCCTTCGAGGGCATAAATAAAATTCTTGGTAAAACATGGATAAAGCAGTTATAGTGTGGTCAGACGATTAATATCATGCACTATACATTCTCGTATATAAAGAATCCATCTACCAACAATAATCATTTCACATATTTAGGTTATAATCAATATGATAACAATTCATTACAGAAAAGATTTAATTTGCTACAAAGAAAAGTATATCAAGGCGAGGGTTTTCTTTAACATGTTAACTAACAAGTGGCTATTAGTTGAAAAATTCAATCAACGGATAGTACCTGGACCAATGTATGGAGAAGAATATACCAAAATGTAACCACATTATGGGTCTTAAATAATGTTTTAACAGTTTGTGTATGGAGGTGGGATAACATTAGGAACGTAGCATGTCGTGAAGTGGAATGAACGTGATTATAAAATACAAAGCGATATTAAAAGAAATAAATTCGGAATCCCGTCGTCCTTCAAATTTTCACTATGATGAAAGAATATTACCGTAATACAATGGGTCCTGATTACTAGCCACAACCATTGTATTTAGTGGGTATGTAAATTAACTTGCCTTTGCAATTGAGTGACGAAGACTCTACAATGTTACGAATCTCTTGACAATTACTGAAGGTGACGTACAAACTAAATTCCAATTAAGTCAAGCAATGAAGACAAATAGAACTTCTGAAAAATTGTGAATCAAGGGAGAATGTTAGCTTTTTCGTGTTTTTCGTCACAACGGAAAACTGAATTTCTTGATGTCGCATCATACTACCCAGGATGACTGAATAGTATTAAGTCTAAGATCGGATGACGAAACTCTGTTGTTAATTGCACAGAAGTGCATCATGATTTATTATCAACATTATAAGGATCGTTCTAAAGAATGTTATGGTTTTATATACTTATTAAATGACAAAATGGCTCTCATCCTCAAGAAAGCGAATAGTCACATTTTATTTAAGATCTACGATCACCTGGGAATAGTGGATCACGGACATTACGCACTTCGCAAAATCCAAACGTGAGATCACCGATGACAACTGGGTTTCACTCGCTTTCAATAACTAAAGTTATAGAATCGATCTATCTACGGCAGTTTCTTAATCTACCAATTTACTTTGGTATTACGGAGTAGCAGCATAGGGTATTTGTGACAAGTATATACATAAAGTTAATATTTTTGATCAACAGTTAGTTGAGTAGGATTCCCATCAATAGCATCCTGAATTTGAGTTATGGAAGTATAACCACATATTTTGCGTTGATTTGTTCATTATTCCACAGAGAATGTCTTCTATGAAGATTATATTTACCAAACAGAACAGAAAGAATAAATATTTCTTTTTAACTAGTTTTTTATCATGGGTAGACATTAACGTATATGATTTACGACGACAAAATATTGGTGTAATAAAAAAGTTAAATAATACTATAATTAAGATCGAAATAGGGAAGGGTTGAACAAACTTCTGCAAAGATGTATAAATGCGGATACCAACATGTTCAGCGGTATGCGATTAACCCCACTATGTGGTGAATTTGGTGGAAGTTTAGTTCAAATTAAGATGAGGTCTTACGTTCACTAAGTGAACGAGAACGTAAATCGTAGTCATTTTAACCGTTCTTTACTTAACCAGGTCATTAAAATGGGAGTGGGTTATAAATGAACTTTGATCCACCACATAAATATACAAAAACATTTTCTAATTCCTTTAAAGTTTTGATTTTTACGTGACTTCAGTATTGCACTCTTAATTCTTCCGCAATTTTCGCAAAATTAACGAATTACAAAAAGCTTTTATAAATTTTCTTAATGCATGAGATCAAGCAATGATAGTACGAAAAGCTTCAAGAGAAGGAAATATGAGATAACTATATAACAACGAAGAAACCATCAGGGAAATATTGTAAGTCAGCCAAGACAAAGAAGTTAAGTCAATCACCGAGGTTTAAGAACAACGGCACTGGTGGGTAGAGCACTGAACCCGCCAAACATCAAAGCAGCACATACAGACCTTCCTATATATGTCACTCCAACGATTGAAGAAATCAGCATGGGCATCAAACAAATCACGAGTGGGAAAACAGCAGGACCTGATAATATACCAGCTGAAGCACTGAAGTAAGACAAAGAAGTAACTGCAAACCTGCTCCACGTTCTATTCATGAAGATTTGGGAGGAAGAACAAGTGCAGACAGACTGGAAATAAAGATATCAAGGAAAGGAGATCTGAGCAAGCGTGAGAACTACAAAGGCGTCAAACTACTATCAGTACCACGAAAAGTTTTCAACGTAGTGTTGTTGAACCGAATGAAAAATTTAGTAGACACGCAACTTCGAAAGCAACGGGCTGGATTTCATAAGGATTTGTCGTTCATAGACCAAATCGCGACGCTACGGATCATTGTTGAGTAATCGCTTGAATGGAATTTGTCACTACAAATCAACTTCCTTGACTATGAGGCGTTCGACAGTGTGGATAGGAGAACCGTATGCAACCTTCTTCGACAATATGGTGTACCTGAGAAGTGAGTGAGTAGGTGAGTAATTAAGTATTCTGACAATCGCCCAACTGTTCCCGATTTTACAAGTAATTTCTTTGATTATTACAATTACCATATTCTATCACTTAGTTGATAAATGGAATGATTTTTAGTAACTTGTAGAACTTATAATATTATTATGTAATACTGTTACTCAATCAGTAATATATTGTCGTTATAAATTATATACACCCTAATGTTTTTTACTATCGTTGAAGTAAGAGCTTCTATGAACTTGCTGTTCATCTTGTGCTAATGAGGTACAGCAACTTGTACTGATGCATATATGTGCCTGGTCCTGCCTTGTAGCTGACTGACTGAGCCATGATGAAAAATAATTGAGAAAAATTTCCCCCATCTGTTCTTATATTCACTAACTGACTCAATGGGATTTATGTTTATACTCAGATATGATATTAGAAAAAATTTGACTAAACTTATATCTCACTTCATCGGTAGTCATTAAAAGTGAAAGCAACGAAAATCAACGATAAGTCAGTCAAACTTCTCCACAGTCCTTAAACAGACGACCAGGCGAGCATTATACATGGTCCGTATGCAGCAATGTTTTGTAGTCAAAATTGGGGTTCGGAGGCAATCGGATATGCTTTTATTCAATTTTCGCAGGAAACAACCAATAATAAATGAAGACAATACGAAGTTATCATAAAAAAGAACGACTCTACAATTCCCAACAACAGTCAAACAAAGAACTGGTATTTGCGTTGATATTATGTATAATGACAGTAAATACAATAAAACAGGAAAACTGAAGGTTAGGTCCAACAAACAGAAACACTGAAAAATTGTTGCAGTTTTGATTGCCATAATTCAGAATGTCTAAAGGAATTCTTAGACAAAAAAGTATCAGTTTAACGATAAAATGTGTGTTTTACAATATAACCTACAAAAAATGTGATGTGAATCAAATACTATTGCTAATTTAATGGCCTTGATCGACCAAGCCATTGAGTAAAACAAATATGAGGAAAAACACTAAAAACCCGTTGACACCTGGAGTTGAAACAAGTTTGCTATGACAAAAATGACCAGCTAATGTGAAAACAGAGCGCGACCGTTTGACCGCAAGACTGAACAAAAATTAAAGAGTACTGAGGATAGCTAACTTACACGAGGGATGATTTGAGAACTGGCCCAGTCGACTCCAAATTGATCCATAAGTTTTCGTAAATTTGTTACAGCTGCTTCACGCACAGCGTATACATCATCTACTAGCCAACCCAAGCATAAATTTGTGAGTCGCTCGTTAAAACATTGCAAACCAAGTTGACTGGCTAATAGTGGCATATACTCAATTATCGCTAGACGAACACGCCACTTTGTATCACTGGCCAATTCAACAATAGCAGGAAGTAGACTTTGACTAAGTTGGGTAATTCCCATAATTTGATTTACACACTCTAAATTAGATATAATATTCAAACGGACCTACAAAAAAGTGAGATATATTTTCGAAAATTGGATATTATTAAAAACAAAACCATACATAATTCAGGATTCATTGACGATAGATAAATAAAAATCTATTATTATGCAACAATTACCACACAAATAATAAGACAACGGAACTGTGCGAAGACAAGGAGGTAAATTTTTAGAACGAGTTTCTCTCAATATTCTTTACCTTGGTCAGATCGATGCTGGTTATAACAGTAAGAAATGTCTTGACGCTTTCAAAAATTACAATTAGTACAATGGGTTACTTATACTAAAATTTCCTACATGTAAAAAACAGAATTAAGGAATTCGGGTAACTTTTGTAAACTTTCCTAGCTCTTTATTATATGGTACTACAAGGTCACTTTTCCACGCATAGAAAAGATTTTTGTCTGTTATGTCATATGTAACCGAGTAAAGAATGTGCAAAATAAGCTTACTCTGATTTTTAACGTGAGGTAGAAAAGTATCGACAAAATGATTACACTCTACTATAATCTACACACAACATAAATATTTCGCTGATTAAGATTGGAACAAAATAAACTGGACTTCAAAACTATAATAAAACTATTGGACTTTTCTCCATTGTTTTGACCTACATATGGTTACATAAGTATTATTTTTATCAACTTACCAAACAAATTTATAGTTATATAGATGATACTCACTAAATGCTTCCTAATTTTATTCTTGCTGATAATCAACTGACAACAAAATTTACATCATCCGGATAATAATTTAACTGTACAGTAATTCAATATGAGTAGAAGTGAAAAACGAATAGGAACTTTATGACGAAATTGACCAGATCTAGCAATTTGTGTGAAAATTAATAGCACAGAAATGTATAGGGTGTTTCATTTACTACGACTAATCAAAAGTAGGAAACTATGAATCTAAACTTACATCTGGATTTTCATCCTTTAATTGAACCAACAGTAATGGAAGAAGATGTTCTAATGTATTTTCCTTGCCAAGCAGCGGAGCTAAAGCCATCATGACACCGGCCAGAGCCGTTTTTACCTGTAAATTAGTTTCACCGACCATTTCCCGAATGATAGGTAACAATGTTTTCATAATTACGGATTCACGAATATCAGGGGCTAGAGACGAAGCAAACTTCTTCAGTTTGCCTGCAGCCGCTGCGCGAACTTCTCCTTCTGGATCTTTGAGAAGGATCTAGAATTAAGACAGAAAGTTTTTTGTATTAGAAACGAGTGCACCAAAAGCACTTATTCATCTAAACATTAATAGTTTAAAAGAGTCAGTGTACCACTAGTGAGTTGACGCTTGGATTCCAAAAACCGGATTGTAGTTCTAAACAATATCTCACCTACGTCACTTTAGGTAGACGAATAGTATTCCTGGTTTTCACATAAAGTATGGCTTAAAGCCAAGTAGTCAAACCTACTTCTATTAACAAGTTACATTATGCGAATTACATTTAATGAGATGTGATTCACTGACACAAAAGAAGCTGGCCTCAAACTATGCAGTAATAACATGAGCTATTATTGTTATCTAGTGATGGATGAAAGATGTCATCATTACGTACACAGATTATGAACATATAGCCTGGGACAGATGTGCAACGGCCCAAGTTACTATACTTTCCACACCTGATTAGCACGACGAAATACAAATAACAAAAGAGATGGGAATGTAATATAACGGATGGTTTAAAATATTTCTATCTCACGGATATTACGATAGTACGTCAATAAAACTAATCACGTTATATAAGAACCAGGATTCACAACTCAGAACAGAGAACCAGAATAACACTAAATAATACTTTATTCAACAAAATTACAAGCGGACACACTTAGTGAGTCCGGAGTAGAAATCAATGACAGGAAGGGAAATCAAATATTTAATAGACCGTAAGCTGTGGCTGTTTGTTCACGCTCAACGACTAGTCATAGTTTTCTTTCACTACCACATATGAGTGATGTAGTAGTTGTAGTGATAAAAAGACTAAACATTGAGAATATGGTTTGAGAAGACAATGGAAAGGTATGGATGAAGGAATACTGGAATTTAAGATCAAGATGAAGGGTGAGTGCACCAGCGCCATTGTCGGTGATTTTGATTTATATAATCACTAGATAAAATTCTCCTGTTATTTAACCATAAATATTTTTGCTATACTTTGATGATTTAAGGGCATTAATTAAACCATGTAACAAGTAAAATGAAGCTAACAGTAGAGAAACCAAGGATGACCATGCATTAAGCACACGCAATTGTAGTTCATTAACAATGTGATCGAAATCCTATTGAGAACGAATACACACGTGTGTACGAACCATTGAATTAATCGATGGTTAGTTAAACACGGTAATCAGTATATGATTATTGACGTGATTGGCTGTTATTTACATTTCGATGTCAGGATAGGTATGAAAGCGGAGCGGAAATCAGTACATATATGAATGTTACTGAATGCGAGTTGATCAAAGAAATAAATTGTTACACATTTGATCAATTTTAATTAACTAGCCACGTTATGTCTGCAAACTAACGGGAATATGAAATCTTTATGACTCATGTTTCATAAAATACAAAACAAGGAGTCTAATAGCATGTTTCTTTAGTTTCAGGTCATCGATACTTTCATTCATTGGGAAAGATTGATGTTTAAGTTAAAACAACAAACACCATACCACAGAGTTTTTGGTTGTGACAACGCCACCTACTTCAAGGGTTAGATGCCGCGTCTTAATTCATTAGTTTGACTGTGAAATCGGCTTCCGTGAAATTAAGAGAGGGGAAAGTGGAATATAAATTAACAGAAATAACACAGAAACCAGTAAATGAATTCCTTTTAAATAAATATCCTCAAAAGAAATTTCCAAACTATCCCTTGCTAATAAAAAAATTGTTACTTATTTTCATTCTAAAACGTTGAATATGAATACAAGCGAATCCCACTCATTTTTATAACCTTCATATCTACCCATTTAAGTACCTTGGACTTCTTTCTCAACTCCCACTTAAAATAGTATATTCCGACGTAGGAAATGTTTCGGAATTTTTAATAGATGCCCTAATCACTCCAGATATAACTTCACTCCACTATTGACAAAAATATTGAAACCGTAACATCGATAAAGGTAATTGTGAAAGAATGGACGTCGGTCACAAGTTGAATATATCAATGGCAGTACACAAGATCAAACAGCGGCGAATATGGTTTGAAAAGGGATGAGTTCTAGAAATAGACGTATGAAATTATAGTGATGATCAAGACTCGTGATAAAAAAGAGTGAATGAATCCATTTGCTCCATTGTGACCGATTGATGTACTAAACATCTATCGATTGAGATGGATGAAACACGTATTACGTACGCTCATCCACAGCCTACCGCGATGCGCGATGTTCGCTGGTGCATTGTGTGAAAGTTAGGGGCAACTAAACTAAAATACTGGCTGTTAGACAGGGCTGCATGATTAATGTTTAGTGACCGTAAGTGACATAGCCCAGAACCATTCACAATAGCGCAAGCGCATTCAGTTTTTGTTGGATCTAATTTCCTCAAGTTATTTTCTTCTAATTTTATTAATATTATTAATATTCCTTTTTGGATAGTATCTTTGATGCCTCATCTTCTCTACTACCACAGAGTGTCACTACATATACTACTCTGAGATTCGGCTTTACAACCTTACTGTATTGATAAGGTGTGGTGACTTGAACCGATACCACGTTTCACTTTGAAGATGACTGACTGATTAAGTGATCGATCATGAAATGTCACCTGACATCTCTTACCACTGAGCGCGGTTAGTGTGCTGCCCCTGACCAGGTGGTCTACACCTACCACAATGACAATCCAACAAACACTGACTTCAGAGACTAATAGTATGTCTTGTTTTGGCACCCAAAAGTCTCCATCCAACCCATTTCCATTCCAAACATTAAAAGTCGAAGTAAACGGTAATTGGGGTGTGACAAATGTTCTCATCAGATTTATTTGGTGGTGTACAGCTTGAATTTTTTATGCGCTCTCATTCATTGTTGGTGGGCTGAAAGGTAGAAATCTATATGAGCAAGAATAAGTCCAATAGTAACTATTTCGACAACCTTTCACCATATACGAATCATCAGGAAATAAATCCACCACTTATTTACCAGTTAAACAGTGAAAATTTTATTGAATATGAAGGAATTCCGACACAAATGAGCACCAACAGAATATGTACCAAACAAACAGAGATAAGACCGTGAAGAAATATGGGAAGGAATAGGAGTAAAAGCAGGAAATATATACATAAGAACAGTATGTAACAAGAGAAAGGTTCGTTTTAGTTAAATGAATTCCTTTCAATATTATGAGGAATGTAAAAGAAAATACGGATGAGTTTCTATTAGCTTCTACGTTGAGGTATGTCAGATAAAATCCAGAGTTTCACTCACTCTAGGACTCCAACCAGGGAGTTGTGATAGACCGACAGATGCCAGTCTTAAACAGTTGTCATAAACACAGACCCGTGATAAATATCACGTAACCCTACTTTTTCCACAAAGTCTCAACAATGCAAGATGTGACATTCGTAAAGCATGTTAAAGTCACTGAAGTTAGTGCTTCCCGATAATGATACTGGTTGGATTTTCGACAGTGTGTCCAAACACATATTGCTGAACCTTAGCATGATTAACATGGCGCTGCCATCAAATGTCGGACATGCTTCGGAGAGCAAAATGACCGAGGCGTCACCAAAAATATCTTTAGCTCAGATGGGCAAGCATAAAGTAAAATGACCCTTTACAACCAACCTAATGTCACGACAGGCGCCGAAGATGGACCGGGTAAGTAAGGGCGACTTTATGTTTCGCCATGTGTAGATTGACTATATCTGTTACGGCATCGACAGCACTCACACGATTAACAAGATAAGCAAACTTTTCTAACGCATCACCATAAAGCATCCAAGCACAACCTTTTGTCAGCCATGAGGATATATTTTACCTTCAGAAGGTTCAAAGAGAATGTTACGGTTACGGATAGTGACTCTAAACTGGTCAAAAGCGATTTAAATACATTGCATACCACCTCACAGTAAAACGATGTCATCTGAGTACTCATGATTGAAAAGTCTTTCTGATAAAATAAGAAACTAATGTGTTTTAAATTTAAAGACATCAACAATTAAAAAGCTTTGGAAACGTTACCTTATCATGAAATACATAAATCAAATTAATGGCCTGTTTATGAATGGGACTATGAAGTTAGTAATAATGTATGAACGTTTTATCACTAAAAACAGACGGTACGGTTAAAGCAGAATTGTACCTATAATCTTTCCTGAAATAAGGGGGAACGATTAAGGTACGAATATCACGCTAAAATTATGAAGAAAGCTAACCTGGTAAACGTCTACCAAGTGCTGTCCAGCAAGTTGGGGTTTTACTGCAGCCTGTAGATCAGTAATGTGATCAGCTAATTGATAACGGACTCGCCAAGATTTATCTTCTGCAGCTCCTCGTATAAGAGGAATGATGTGTGTCAAGACATCTTCAGTAGGAAGAACCTCAGCGAAATCTACTGACGCATTCACACCCAGTAATCGTACAGAGTCCTGATCATCCTGCTAAAACAGAAAACAATTAGGATGGACAGCAGTAGATAAAGTCGAATTTTTACTCTTGTGGTTTAATGGAAATGTAGAGATATATTGGGCTTACTTGGGAAAGAGGAGGTAATAGTGGTAACAGGTCCGAACGTAACGCATCTAGTTCCAAACAACGAGCTAGTTCCCCGAGACGGTTAGCAGCTGCACGTCTGACCATAGGAGTATCGTCAGTGCAAAGCTGCTTAAAGGCGCGACGCAGTTCTGCACGGACAGCGGTAGAAGACTGTCGATAAATCACGCTAAACAGTCCACAAGCAGAAGTACGGCTAGTAAACCAGTCACCTGTTGCCAAACGTTTGATCAGTGGCAGGAAGTGAGTTTCCAAATCCTAAAAACAAAAACAAGCAGATGAGTCCCAATTAATGACTAGAATTGTATCTGTTTGAAGCACTATAGTATAAAATCAAGATCTACACGTATACTATATACGTAAAATATGTAGACACTCCATTTTATTATTTAGGAATCAACGGAGTCCATCATGATTGTAAACTAAAAGACCGAGATCCCGATTCGTAGATACTACACTTCCATCGTGATTGAGATAAAAGTCAAAAAGCATAAGCTGTTAATTACTTATTTAAACACATAAATATTGGTACAAAGGGGCACAGAATACGTATGCGCCACACAAGTCACTTAATTTGTGTGTGGGCTGTAATACTGTTGTTAAAGTTGACTAGATGAGAGAGGAATATTTACTGTTTAAGAAATAAAAACCGGACTTATTCGTTTTAATGTTCTTCTTAAAGTTAAGATGGTATTCCTCAAAACTTTCAGAGTAAACTCCATACGGGAAGTTTATTTCCCTTCATACAGTTTGATCACACCATCATGCTTGAAGATATACCGTAACGGCATATTGGTCCTTTTAATTGGTGTGAGCTCAAGTAACTCATTTAACAGTGGGGGTGTTGTTTGTGAAATGGAGAGGATGAAAAGCGAATGTCTAGTGCTTTAACAGGGTTAGTGGATATGGAGGAGCCACCTATGGGATTCGGAGAACCTTGATTCCAAACAAATGGCGCACATGGATTCCAGGGTCCTGATGGAACAAAAGGCGTATGAACTTATTGTTCGTTACCGGCTATCATGGAACTGCATCTTATAAAGTTGCTCTACTGCCTTGTGGATTAAACTTTCAAATCAGAGGCTCAGGGTGTAGCCCCTTAACAAAACCACCTACTTCGGTATGGGCACCCGGGCAGCCCATACACAAATCAATGATAACTGCTGGCCTCAGTGTTATTGTGTGGCACATATGTACTTGGTGCCCCCATGTACCGATGTCCAAATAAAATAAAAAACCTACAAATTTCTTTACTCGTCTGAGTTACACTGTGTAAGGGCTGGTAGTAGTATTTCTGGATACGTGCAGCAGTTTTAAATGATATGCTACTGTTATTCTATATCAGATGCACCTGAATCACAAGCAAAACTGCGTCTTAAAATCAACCCAAAAGTCAGTCAGCCAGCAAGAATATTACTCAATACTCATCCCAGAAAAAGTCACAATACTACATTACTTACATTTTTCTCCGAAGATAATATAACTGCAATTCATTAAAAACAATAACCATACCTTTCAATTATGGGAATCGTCGAAACTAGAGGTTATACGATGTTTAGGTTGCTGAGTTACATCATAGAAGGGTAGCTCAGTCGTTAAGCCACTCGAATTTCAACCGTTGAGTCGTAGTTTTGAACCCAAAACTTGGGATGGTTTATAATGAATCATCTAGACAGTAAACTACAGGACATATTATGAGTACAACTGACAACTAAACCGGAGGCTTTAGGAGAAAGAAGTTTGCTTGACAGCCCAGTGAAAGATAGTTGGACAGACGATAATAGCAGCAAGACATATTATTAACGTGGGATCTACCACGAACGTGTATCGGTCTGTTATCACAGTTGAAGACAGCACGGCAAAAATCAATTTTGAGTTATTATTGATCACAATTCGGTATCAAGTCTGATGTATATATGAGTAGCAACGCCTGCAGACTTCAATATGTTGGTGGGATTTGAAGAAACAATGACGTGATTTGCATAAAAACGAGAATCCCAGCTATTTACTTCAGTGAGATACCACGGGGATATTCTATACATTTCTAAGCCCCCAAAAGAAACGCAACATTGATCTAAGTAGAGAATAAATATTCTGGAATTTGTAGGGAAGTCTTTTATAGTCAGTCAGTCAATAACAACGTAGAACTTCGTACGTACGTACATCAGTTCGAGTTGCCACACCACCTTAACACAAAAATGAAGTTGTCGATTCAAATCCCATTGTGGTAGAGGAAGTAAGAGTATAAGCAGTAATCGGGAAGATTAGGATTTGGAGATGTTATTTAAAGAGTATAATCCAGTGAAATAAATTTGGAAAGAGAAAAAAGAGACAAGGAGGAATCAGATTGAAATTTGGGAGAACACAAAGAGTGTATGCACCTGTGCCATTGCATACGACTTTGAGCCATTTTATTCAGGGTCTCTAACCATCGGTTGCTATCATCTCGCGGTCTCCAACCAGGTAGTCTACACCTACCAACATGAATCAGTCCACTTGTCAGTGACTTCATGGACTTGTGCCATGTCTTGGTCTGGCCGCCCCTAGCTTTCTTCCAACCTACTCTTATACCACTGAACATCGCACGTCGAGGCAGTCGGTCGTTGGGCATACGTAACACGTCTCCCAGCCATCTCAACTGATGAAGTTTCACTACTTCATCAATCGATTTGCCATCCTTACCTAGTACCCGTTTCCTAACAACTGCGTTACTTACTCGATTGTCCCACGATATACGAGCAATATTTCGAAGACACCTGTGATCAAATACTAGTAACTTATGAATATCCTCTACTCTTACCGGCCACGTTTCACTGCAATAAAGTAGGACGGAACGAACTGCTGCGCAGTAAACACATCCTTTGGTTGGTAGACGGATATCTCGCCTATGCCATAAATGACGCAAGTTGGCAAAAGCTAGTCGAGCCTTCTGTATCTGCGCTGAGATTTCGTCACACACCAAACCACAAGGGCTGATGAGACTTCCAAGTGAAGTGGTCGACACGCTCAACTACTTCACTCCCTATCATTAGTTCGGGTGTCAATGCTACCCAATCCTGAAGCAACATTTTGCATTTCGAGGGGGAGAATCGCATGCCGAACATGCTTGCATTGTTGCTTAGAGTGGTCAGAAGACTCTGCATTTTGCCAGCGTCTTCATCAAATAGAACTATGTCGTCGGCATATTCCAAGTCAACAAGTGAACCTCCCGGTAGAAGTTCAACCCCTGGAAATTTAGACGAGGAAAGTGTTATCCCTAGAAGCACGTCAATGACAAAGTTAAACAAGAATGGAGAGAGTGGGCAACCCTGACGAACACCACTTGAGGTAATCAATTCTAATGACAGTTCGCCATAAGCTCTCACTCGACCAGTTGTGTTCGAATAGAGAGCCTTTACAAGGTTAATGTACTTCTTTAGTACTCCTTTCAGTGACAAACACTGCCATAGAACCTTACGATCAACAGAGTCGAATGCCGACTTAAGGTCGAGAAATACTACCATTGTGGGGCGTCTAAACGTGTGTCTGTGTTCTAGAACCTGACGTAGTGTGAATATTTGGTCTATACAACCACGTCCAGGTCGAAAACCAGCCTGATTTTCTCTAGTCTGTTCTTCACGAGCTTTGGTTAGGCGTCGAAGTATTATTGAAGCCAATATTTTAGACACTATATTAGTCAAACTGATTCCTCTATGATTGTCACAAGAGGACTTTTGTCCTTTCTTAAAAACTGGCACAATCAGTGATTGAGACGTCAGATGGGATTACGTCCAGTTCCCAAATTCTACCTAAGACCTCAGTTAATCTCACTGCTAATACTGAACCACCGTCCTTAAAAATCTCAGGAGTAAGCCTGTCAGGGCCTGCTGCTCTCCCTCGTTTCAGATTTCCTATGGCTTTTTCAACTTCTTAAAGAGACGGAGGACCTACATTAACTTGCCATTCAGGTTGACTGGGGATCGTGGGAAACCGAAGTGTGGCTGAAGGCCAGTTGAACTGATCCCTGAAGTGTTCTGCCCATCGATCCAATCTCCTGGATTGAGAATGAATAATATGTCCATCTTTCTCTGAGATTGTTTCGCTAACGGTCGGGTTCCTAATTCCGATTTCCTTAACGAGTCTGAACAATTGTCTGCTGTTACCTATTGCCGCTGCCTTTTCCATCTCTCTTGCTTTCGCTACCCACCACTGTTCGCGATCATTGCATAGACCTTTTGTCAGCTTGCGCTTAAGCTGACTCCGTTCTCCACCATGTTCAGAGCCAGGTGGAATGAGTTTCCGAGCATCTATCAGTGTGATAGATGCTGGTGAGATCCAGTGTTGCTCCCTAACCTTGCGGTTTACCTTACTAGCGGATATCACTGCTGTTTCAATGGCTTTCCGGATATCATTCCATGCTGCCTCGGGGTGGGCATCACCTACATGGCTGCCTAACTGTTTTTCTAGTTGTTCCTGAAATATGCTCTTAGTTTGACTGTCATTAAACAGGACGCCCAGTAGGACGCAGGCAAGTACGTGCTCGCACTAGAGCATGATCTGAATCTAAGCATGTGCTCCAGAATGAGCGACAGTCTTCTATCGAGCCCCTCCATCGGTGGTTGATAGCGAAGTGATCTATTTGGGTCCAACGTTTGGACGAATTAGGGGGTCTCCATGTTAAAAGATGTTTTTTCTTATGTTTGAAGTTAGCATTTGCAAGGAACAGGGGGTTATCTGAGCATAGCTGCAACAGACGGTCGCCATTATCTGTTCTTTGAGCCACGATGCTATAAGATCTACCCAGGTGTCTTTTCCTATCGCTCAGTTTACCTACTTGAGCGTTAAAGTCACCAGCCACTATTACTATATCCGAGCACCTAGCTTTTCGGAGAAGGTCGGAGAGCTTTTTGTAAAACTCATCTTTTACATCATCTGAGCTGCAGTCAGTGGGAGAATAGGCAGAAACGACGAGGAGGCAACGACGAGTGTCCCTATCTCTTCGGATCCTTACTGTTTTGTTCAGTCGGACAGCACACAAACGGCTGTCTACTGGGATCCACTCTAAGAGAGCTAGTTCTGCCCTAGGGCTCAATGCTATACCTACACCAGCGAGTCCACGGGAAGCAGAATCAGGGCTTCCAGATACATGAAGTGTGAATCGAGTCGGTCCTTTATTTTGGCATGGTGAGGTCAGATGAATGACGCTACTCGGATCTTGTATGCGCGTTTCGGAGACGCAGCACACATCGATGGCGCGAGATTTTAAAGTCCTAGCTAAGGAAGCCTGCTGTCCTATTTGGCACAGTGTTCGGACGTTAAAAGCTCCTACGTGTAGTTTAGAGCGTGGTTTCAGAAGACCAGGAATCGAGTTCCGCGTACTCGAATCGTTTGCCCTAGCGGTGCGATGTGATAAAGAGACATGAGGAGGGTTAGTCATGGAGATAAGAGTGGTATTAGGAGGTGTAGGAAGGATTTGGATGTGACCAACTTGGTCTCGTGTGCTGTTACGGGTATGAGGGCTGATGTCACTTCCCGGCTGCCCACAACGTGGAAGGGTATTTCTTGAGGAACCTGAAAAGGAAATTGCATTAGTGTTGGTCTTGATGACCTGGGAGCGTGACCGCAGAGCCCAAGGGACAACTGCTTGAGGCCGGTCGCGCACGGCCTTTTTGTGGAAGGATTTTGACGTGTTAGCTCCGTTCTTCAAAGGGCCTTACCGCCGGAGATGATCAGGCTTGCCTATCGTGATGACCCAACCGAGCTATATTGGCCGGAACATATGTTCCTGTAGGTTCTACCATGCCAGGCAGGTCGATTGGAAAACGGTAAGACTAAAAGCAGCAACTCAAGGTCTGAGGGCGAAGTCGTACTGCTGACTGTAGAGGGGTGTGACAGCAGTAAGGTGTTTCCCTCGGACAACCAGCATCTGCAGCAATGCTGCCTTCCCACAAGGAAGGGTGGAGTTAGAAAAGGTCGACCCTAAAAATGTCACACCTCACCTTACCTCACGGATTTCCGTCTCCGGCGGTAAGGTCCTTCGAAGAACGGAGCTAACACATTAAAAACCTTCCACGAAAAGGCCGTGCGCGACCGGCCTCAAGCAGTTGTCCCTTGGGCTCTGCGGTCACGCTCCCAGGTCATCAAGACCAACACTAATGCAATTTCCTTTTCAGGTTCCTCAAGAAATACCCTTCCATGTTGTGGGCAGCCGGGAAGTGATATCAGCCCTCATACGCGTAACAGCACACGAGACCAAGTTGGTCACATCCAAATCCTTCCTACACCTCCTAATACCACTCTTATCTCCATGGCTAACCCTTCTCACGTCCTGTTTTCACCTCACACCGCTAGGACAAATGATTCGAGTACGCGGAACGCTATTCCTGGCCACCTGAAACCACACTTTAAACTACATGTAGGAGCTTTTACCGTACGAACACTGTGCCAAATAGTACAACAGACTTTTTTAGCCAGAACTTTAGAATCTCGCGCCATCGATGTGTGCTGCGTCTCCGAAACGCGCATACAAGATCCGAGTAGCGTCATTCATCTGACCTCACCATGCCAAAATAAAGGACCGACTCGATTCACACTTCATGTATCTGGAAGCCCTGATTCTGCTTCCCGTGGACTCGCTGGTGTAGGTATAGCATTGAGCCCTAGGGCAGAACTAGCTCTCTTAGAGTGGATCCCAGTAGACAGCCGTTTGTGTGCTGTCCGACTGAACAAAACAGTAAGGATCCGAAAAGATAGGGACACTCGTCGTTGCCTCCTCGTCGTTTCTGCCTATTCTCCCACTGACTGCAGCTCAGATGATGTAAAAGATGAGTTTTACAAAAAGCTCTCCGACCTTCTCCGAAAAGCTAGGTGCTCGGATATAGTAATAGTGGCTGGTGACTTTAACGCTCAAGTAGGTAAACTGAGCGATAGGAAAAGACACCTGGGTAGATCTTATAGCATCGTGGCTCAAAGAACAGATAATGGCGACCGTCTGTTGCAGCTATGCTCAGATAACCCCCTGTTCCTTGCAAATGCTAACTTCAAACATAAGAAAAAACATCTTTTAACATGGAGACCCCCTAATTCGTCCAAACGTTGGACCCAAATAGATCACTTCGCTATCAACCACCGATGGAGGGGCTCGATAGAAGACTGTCGCTCATTCTGGAGCACATGCTTAGATTCAGATCATGCTCTAGTGCGAGCACGTACTTGCCTGCGTCCTACTGGGCGTCCTGTTTAATGACAGTCAAACTAAGAGCATATTTCAGGAACAACTAGAAAAACAGTTAGGCAGCCATGTAGGTGATGCCCACCCCGAGGCAGCATGGAATGATATCCGGAAAGCCATTGAAACAGCAGTGATATCCGCTAGTAAGGTAAACCGCAAGGTTAGGGAGCAACACTGGATCTCACCAGCATCTATCACACTGATAGATGCTCGGAAACTCATTCCACCTGGCTCTGAACATGGTGGAGAACGGAGTCAGCTTAAGCGCAAGCTGACAAAAGGTCTATGCAATGATCGCGAACAGTGGTGGGTAGCGAAAGCAAGAGAGATGGAAAAGGCAGCGGCAATAGGTAACAGCAGACAATTGTTCAGACTCGTTAAGGAAATCGGAATTAGGAACCCGACCGTTAGCGAAACAATCTCAGAGAAAGATGGACATATTATTCATTCTCAATCCAGGAGATTGGATCGATGGGCAGAACACTTCAGGGATCAGTTCAACTGGCCTTCAGCCACACTTCGGTTTCCCACGATCCCCAGTCAACCTGAATGGCAAGTTAATGTAGGTCCTCCGTCTCTTTAAGAAGTTGAAAAAGCCTTAGGAAATCTGAAACGAGGGAGAGCAGCAGGCCCTGACAGGCTTACTCCTGAGATTTTTAAGGACGGTGGTTCAGTATTAGCAGTGAGATTAACTGAGGTCTTAGGTAGAATTTGGGAACTGGACGTAATCCCATCTGACGTCTCAATCACTGATTGTGCCAGTTTTTAAGAAAGGGCAAAAGTCCTCTTGTGACAATCACAGAAGAATCAATTTGATAAGGGAATCTAAGAACATGATATCCAAGAAAACTCAGTCATTACCACAGTCCTAGATAACTGAAACACAAATCAAGTTGTCAGTCAAGGATATTAAGATGAAAAGTAGTTACAAAGTGACCAACTCGTAATCAAATGCTCTGAGTTAATTATTTGCATTACTGCATTGTCACGAAGCGTTTTAAGAAGAAAAGGTAATTATGATACGATCCTTGGTTGGCGCAGACCTTAACCAAGTGACGCTGAACAGTTGTATTTCATCAGAAACCGGATAAACAAGTCATACTTGACTACATGGAGTTTAAAAAGGACGATTTTGGGGCAGTCCAAACAGCACTACCTGCATTGAACTTATCAAGTATGTGCCACACTCGTAAGCTTTTATAATACTCCAGAAGATAGTTACGTGTTGTAGTGAGTATATCATAAGAAGGGTAAAAGTCCCGAATCTTGCTCACAGCCCTGAAGAAAATATTGGAGTTAAAATGGATATCGACACAACCATGAATGGGCGTACGGTTATAAGAAAACTTAAAGATAACGTCAAAACGTGGATCCAGTACAAAGAGGGAAAACTAACCTTGGGTGAGAAACTAGGTGCAAGTGTTCGTAACGTCTCCACAGCTTTATCCCGCACAACCGTTTCTTCAGCAGATGCAAGTCCTTCCAATGGTGGTAGAAGACAATGGACATATTCAGGTCCTCCAACCAATGGAACAAAGTCTGCCAATTGTTTGGCCATTTCCCTAAGTACCTCATCCTCATCATATATGGTATCGGTTAGGAATGGAATCAATTCTGTTCTTGTCCTCTCTGGACCAAGTGCAAGAGCAATAGTAGTAAGTTTTCTGATGCTAGCCAGACGAGTTTGCATTTCCTCATTTCTTAACTCATCAATAAGAATAGCAATAGGAAAGAGACTCTCATCGGTCAAATCTGCAGTCATCTTTCTGAATCTACAGATGAACAAATCGGAGTTAAGATGAATAAGCATGGTTAACTTTAGGCAAATTTACTTTAACGAAAGCTATGACTTTAAACCCAGGTTCCAAGAAGAAACATAACATAATGACCATAAAAACAAAAGCCGGTTACATCAACTGGTCATATATCTCTTATGAATAGCAAACAGTTTTAAGAATGAACTTGCTTAATCATTTATCTAAATAATACGTTTATAGGTATTATGGGCAGCTTGATCAGTTGGCTAAAATCGCAATCGAAGTAGATTCCCAGATTAATTAGATCCCAGATAACTATCACTGTTCAAATAAAAGTATATGACCAACCAATTAATAATATTAAATCAAAGATCGTTTCTATCTTACCGTGTTGTTAATGTTACAACGGGGCTTTATGCTGAGATACGAGATAATTCTAAGGCATTTATCGTTGACCACTTGACAGGAAGCAGAAACATTAAAGGAGTGAATAATGATAAGCCATCTTAACTGATCGAGACTCCTAACAAACAGGTTGATGTTAAAATATTAAGTACGAAAATGTGATTCAGTGTGACTGGAGTAATCAACGAAGCTAACTCAAAGTCGACTTACTTAACTATCATACTGTGTGAAATCATTGACACCCCTGTTTTGTCAAAATGACTTTGACGTAAGGGACGTTTCGGACACAGAGTAACTGAACCTTTTGAAATGACTTAAGACAATGTAATACAAAAACCTGGCCACTGAATCGTAGTTTTGACACCCTGAAAGGTCGGTTAGAGAAGTTAATCTTCATGGGTCCAATCACTATTTGGCGACATCCTTGCTGACGCAAAGAACGATGTAGAAATATTAAGATACGGCGATGAACTGATTACTGTCTGTAACAGAATTTATCATTAGTTTGTCGAAGGCACCCATTTTATTTGAAAGCATATTTGTAAATAAACACAACAGGAATAGTGCGCCAAGGTGGAAAGTTATGGGTAGTTAGGCTGAATGTCATTTGAAAAGCCCAACGTACGGAATTGTAGCATTTACTATGGTAATAGTAGGTAGTGTGAATTTTCGTCCTAAATGATAAGAACCTTAGTATTCAGATCAACTTACAGGATAAACTTCAATTACAAAAGTCGTTTCAAAAGACTGTGAATGGAAAGCCTACCTGAGACAGAATAAAGACCCAGAAACTGGGGCTTATTTGACTACGCTAAAACCTTTCGAAACTAATTAAAACAAATATATCCTAACTTATTGTCACATCAGATGGTTTATACACAAATCATTAGGACTAATTTATTCGTAATTAGTGTCGACCATATGACCAAATTGGGTTTTTTTATCATCCTTAGGAATGTTATAAATGTCAATAATACAGTTGTTTCAATACATTAAGTTGCGAATGAGCAGATTTCTATAGGATTCATTATTTCGGTCGTATTTTCTACGGTGATTTTGGTTTTGCTTGTGATTCAAGGACTAAAATGCCTAATGATATTTATTTGTAAAGAGTATTTACTTGGTTGCTGTAGCAGCATCTAACTCTGCAATCCGCAATTAAACCCTCTACCCCGAAACAATCAATGAGTGACACCTCTTTAGATATTGGTGGCCATGTTGCTACAGCAGCAACCGGTGATCCAGATAAAACAATTACTGTCCCGAGTAGTTCTAAGGCAGATGCTACGACTGATGGAAAATAGATGACGCGGAAACGCAGAAGAGAAGGGGAGATAGCTAAAACTAATGACCGTTTACTTGATAAGTCCTTGATGGGTTCTCAGAACACTCCGCCAAAGTCCCAAAGTAAGGCCTCATGAAACATTGCTGTGAGTCACTCGCTCGACTCCCATGACTCTGTTACAATAAAAACTAATTGTAAGATACCAGTAGTTAATATACAGGATCTAGCGTCACGATTGAAAGCTGTGAACACGATTTCAAAAGAAGCTAAACCCCTTCCTAGTTCAATTATTTGGACTCTAGAGGGGTCGAAAGACAATGACCCTGCTAAGAGACATGCACATGATCTGTTGTTAGTTGAATCTCCAATAAGATATGTACTATCTGAAGAGGTTCCAGAGGTATATATCACGAAAGTAATACGACTCGCTAAATGGGTTGGAGACGAGACCCAACCAAGAAGGATCTTGAAGCTGGTTCTCGGAAATTTAGAAGAAAGAGATGTATTATTGGAAAACGCACAAAAAACCGTGAATCAAATATCCGTATCCGACCAGATTGGCCGCTTGAGGGTCGATTCAAGTGGAAGAATGCTCTTACGAAGTTGAGAATTCGCAAGTTAAATGGCGAAACAAGCCCTACCATTAAGGGTTTTCAGGTAGTCAGGTCTTGGAAGCCAATGCCTCCGAGGCCTGTATGGGTAGAACGAACGATTACCAAAACACCTTAAGTATGTGCTACACGAACGCCCGTAGTTTTAGAAATAAAACGTTTGAGCTAAGTCTGATAGTGGATGAATTAAGTCCCAATATAATTGTTGTTACAGAAACTTGGTTCACCGTAGTTATAGTATGTTCTCCCATCATTGCAGGCTATATCTGTATTAGAAGTGACAGAGTTTTAAGTCGTAAGAGGGAGGCATAATGTTATACGTTAGGGATCACTTTCGTATACAATAATTCATATCGGGGGTTCATTTCAGTGGTACATGTGAGGTAGCATGTTGTAAGATTAAATCTAGAAATGGGTCAGTGACATAGGGGGAATATATCGTAGTTCGTGTTGTCTTGCTTACGACTTTATCTTAGGACACATCTGTTCTTGGAGTATGGCAGAATGTTGTCTCATCATTGGGGACTTCAACGCATCGCATATCAACTGGATAGAGCTTGCAGCTCCAAGTGGAGGTTTCGAAGGCGACCTCTTATCAACCGTTATTCAGTGTGCACTTGTACATTCGAGTCCGTAACTTCGCCGTTCATCCCATGGTCAGCACGTAAGCTATCACATTGCCCTCCATGGATTAATAAGAAAGCCCGAAAGCTGTTAAAGCGTGGGAAACATTTCTGGGACTCATTCTTGTTAACAGATCATGCGTCATTTAAGCATGAGTACCGAAAATTCCGGAATATTTGTAAGAAAACAATAGCTTAATCCCGAATTACCTACGAACGACAGTTGGTATATGATAACCGTACTTGTTCGAAACGATTGTTTTTGTATGCTGAACGGCTAATGAAACGTAGTGATGTCATTCCCCCGTTACTGTTACACGAAAATTCAGATTTACTAGCTGAATCAGATTAAGAAAAAGCTGACTATTTTAGCGACGTCTACTCTACGTTTATTGTAACAAATAATTGTCCCACTCACACCGAGATACCAGCCATTGAATCTGTACAGGTGACTGAGGAAACTGTCCTTACGTTGATAACTGACCTCAAACCTGATAAGATACCGGGCCCTGACGGGATACGTCCACGGCTGCTGTCATCCCTTGCGGACATTATTTCAAAACCGCTTGCGACACTTCAACATGTTCCTTCCACTCGCTCAACGCCCTGGAGATTGGAAGGACGCTATAGTCAGTCCTGTATTTAAGGATGACCAGAGATAGATCGTATCTAACTACCGGCCTGTCAGTCTAACTAGCATTGTCGTTAAGTTACTTGAAAAGATGACTCGGGTTAGGTTGACAAGCCGTATAATTTCACACAATCTGTTAGCTTCTGAGAAACATGGATTTCGTAAAAAGCGTTCGTGCCTGACTAACTTACTTATTGTGAAAGAGGATTGGACAGCAGCCTTAGATAAAGGTCTGTCTGTCGATGTGATATTCATAGACTTTAGCATAGCATTTGACAAGGTTTCACACTTAGGTCTTATACAGAAGTTCACGAGCTTCGGAATAATATGTACTGTACAGGAGTGGTTAGGTAACTTCTTATGTGACTGCAGACAGAGATTGAGGGTCAGTGGGGAATTTTATATCCCATATATGTAAGACCACATTTAGAGTACTGTGTCCAAGCAGCTAGCCCATGTCTGGTAAAGGATACTATCTCACTTGGGCGTGTCCAGAGTGTGAGAACGAAATTAGTGAGTTGTCTTTCTAAACTCCCTTACGATGAGAGTTTAAAACGCCTAAACCTTTTTTTTTGTTCTATCGGGGGACGCGAGGTGACCTTATACTGGCATTTCGTATCCTTAATTATGATTTAGGTGTAAGTATGTCCTATCTTTTTGCCCCCTCTAGCACTAATAATCTCCTAGGTCATAGCAAGAATGTTCATAAACCACGATCTAAAAAACTTAAAGTGAGGTCCCGTTTTTCTCATCGAGTAGTCAATGATTGGAACGCCTTACCCGGACAAGTAGTATCAGTCCCATTAGTGAATACTTTCAAGGAGAAGCTGAACCTTCACTGGAAGGCAATCTGTCAAGATTAACACAGATTCCCTAACCTACTATCCTTATTAATGAAGACTGGACTGTGATCAAATTACAGTTAACGACCGAAATATATGTTTGGAGAGTTTCTGTTTTAAGCACTTAACCCCAGTCGATTCCAAGCCCTGGGTAATTTTAAGTATAAACACAGCTCAATAAACTAGGAATCTTAAGTAACTGATTTTATAGTCTAAATTCTGTTCTAGCAGATGGAATTCGGGTGGTATACGGTTTATTAACCTTAACTATTTTTTGTCTCCCTACGGTATGTTGCGTCCAGCAAATACTCTCGTACGTTTGCCTTCGGTAAATTTCAGGGATAAATTCTATCTAGGCTACCATAGCCTACCATAACTTTTACGGACGTATAGACATGGATGACATTTGTTGACACACAGATCCACGGTTGCTAACTTACATGCTTACTCAAGCATGCCGTTCCCCTTGTAACATCAGTCATCAACTAACTGTACCCTCGACTCTTCTTTCCAGTTATTCTTAACTGTTACTCATGGACATGGTGCCTACATACAATAATGAACTTACGCATACCTTGGCCTAACTCTCCTAATTCTCCAATAAAAATTTCAAGCAGATGCTAGCATTGCAATGCAGTCTGCTGGCCATCGAAAACTGTATCTTATCCACGAATAGTCCTTTCATCATTTCTTCTTTAGTTGTGCTATTGTGTTATTCGCCACAGCAGATTAGATCTGATGACTTCTGATAGATGAATCTCATGTAAACAGCTGTCCATGAGTTACGGCAAGGTTTGATCACGGTGGCGGAAGTCCGCGTAATCCATCGTCTGGATAGCAGTTGTTGCTCATGATCGTTGTTACTGAACTTTGAACTATCGTATATCCGTTGATTTTTCTCTGGCTCATATTTTTAAGAATAAGATACAGAAACGCATCTTAGGGTCAAACCTCAGTTTTCTGTGCACCAGGAGTGTAGGTTGCTGATAATTATTCTGCTTGATTTATATGGCAGCTGTGTCAGATTTTACAAACACGGTTCAGACGGATTGTCAATTAAATAAAACCGCAAAAGGGATACTGAATAACCTAGAACTCGCTTCATCATCGTATACATTATTCCTCCAACCCCACAAAAAACATGTGAGAAAAAGAGGATTAGATGGAACAACGAAGATTAAGGTTGAGGAACCACATATTAGGTCAATATGTGTGTCATCAGCATTGCCTGGACAGTTTGAGAC